TACTCCCAAGGCGTTAAACGCTATACAAGGTGGCGCCTCATACGCCGGGGAGGCCTCAAGGAGAACAACAGTTTGTATTGAAACGAAATTTTGTGAGCATATGCAGGTTAATTCAGAGCACTTTTTAAAAATATAGAGAGTTTTACAGGGTGTCCACAAAAAAAGTTACATATTAAAGTTGTGTTTTTTGTAAAGGATCACCCTATATATTAATTAATTTTCGGATTCTAGAAGAAAAATAAGTTAAGTTTTATAAGGGAAGTATATAACTAAAATGTAAGGTTTTTGACATATTTAACATTTTCTAGAAATAAAGAAGAATTTTTAAATTACAATAAAAGCTACCTAAATTGGAATTTTCCCGGTATAGGCTAATATGTAGTTAAATTAACTATTGTACTTTAAATCAAATAAAAACTTGATCTAAAAAGTTATACAGGGTGAGACAAAATTAATATTGAACATTGGTCACCTTTAAAAGCATGCTACTCGTTTATTTAAATGGGACACCCAGTATATTATTCCGATATTCAATGGAGAATTCATGTCTCTTCAAAATACTATTAAGGTTGCCTACCCCTCAAACCAAGATTTTCCATTTACATGATTTGATATGAGTAGATCTTTATTATTTGATAAAATCTAGGTAGCTGTGATAGGTCTGACGTTACTTCAACATAGCTGTCTAATTAGTCCAACCTTAACAACTAGTTATCATTTTATGTAAGTTAAAACAACAAAAATTTTCCGAAATTTGCCGAAAATATCAAACTTATCCTACATCAGAGAGAATTGATATAATTCATTAGTTGGTGAATGCAGTGTGCATTCTCCAATTAATAGAATACTTAAATGCTCCTGATTTTATCTAGTCTGGATTTTTTATGGGGATATGTTAAAGACAGTGTTTACAAAAGACAACATGAGAGAAATTATTGTAGTTGTTTCTCGAGGTAGAACTCCACATAATGCCTTTTAAAATGAAAAGATCTTTTTGAAAAACAATCATTTTATGCAGTTAACAGGAAAGGAAGCATTTTGAGCATTTGATTTTATCAAGCTAATTTTTGTCACATAATTATAGGTTTATATCTGGTTTTAATTCTGTAATAATTAAAATATATTTGAAACGTGTAACTTATTATTACCGTTTGAGTATTTTACTCTACAATATTTAACTTTTGTTAAATTAGCAAAAGGTATATCGCAGCCATCTAGATTTTATCAAATAATAAAGATCTACTGAGGCAAAATCATAAAAATTAAAATATCTAGGAAGCTCTTTGTCTGAGGGGTAGGCAACCTTAATAATATTTCGAAGATATATAAATTTCCCATTGAACAGCGGAATAATATACTGGGTGTTTCATTTAAAATAAAGGAGTAACTTGCTTTTAAAAATGACTAATCTTCCATATTAATTTTGTCTCACCCTGTATAACTTTTCGGGTCAAATTTAAATTTAGTTTAACATACAATGGTTACTGTAATTATTTAATTACTGATATTTATCAGGCTATACAAGGTCAACTAAAATTTAGGTAGCTGTTATCGGAATTTAAAATTTACTCTTCATTTTCACAAAATGTGAAATATGTCAAAATTCTTAGATTTTAGGTATATGCTTCTTTAATAAAACTCACCCTTACTTTTTCCCTAGAATCCAAAAATTAATTAATATATAGGGCGTTCCATTAGAAAAAACACCACTTTAATGTGTAACTTTTTTTGGGGACACCCTGTATAATTCTATATATTTTTATAAAATGCTTTCAGTTAACCTACATATGCTGCCAACATTTCATTTCGATATAAACTACCGTTCTCCCTGGAGCTTCCGCGGCGTATGAGAGGCGCCACCCTGTACAATACGGAAGCTATATATATTTATTTTTTCTAGTAATTTGCAAGATTCTTGAAAGATATTTGAAAGAAATTATTTTCCTTGGTCTGTACAAATTTCTTAAGGAATACCGTACTTAAGTACAATATTGTCAACAAAACTTTTATATACCTTCTAATATTAGTAGTGGGAACTATCGAATGAATACTATCGAAACATTCGATAGTTGCAATTCATTCGAATAATTCGATAGCTAGTAAGAAAACATTCGTTGAAAACTATTCGAATAAAAATTATCGAATAGACGCGTCATCTGCCTTGAAATATTGTATTCTAGTAATTCGGCAGCAAAAACCATTCATTTATAAAATTCATTCGTTTATGAAATTCATTTATTCATCATGATCGATTATAATAAAATATTAACTGGATTTTAGTTGTCGCCGGGCGACGGAGGTTTCTTTCCGAGAAACCCGACAGCGGTCGGTGGCAATGCTATGAAAGAAGGCGGCATCTTTGATTTTTTTGCGGAGTAGATAAGGACACATTATTTTTTTTATTGAGGTGTTAGTATTTACACAAAAACTACATTATGAAGGGCGCTGTTGCCATATATTGGTATTAGTTGATATTAGCAAAGAATATTATTGTCTGGCTTTAGTTAGTTAGGGATAGTACGTCTATATATTTTGCTTTTTTTTTATTAATATTCTGTTATTACACTACAATAATACTTGTTATTTTGGATGTAGGAAAATGATTTTTAATGCTTTTAAGCAAAGACTGGTTTAATAAATAATAATAACAGTTATAATTTGTTATACCTATTAACGACAAAATTTAAAATCATTTAATATAAACATTTTTTTAAGTAGTGGGAAAAATAAACAACAAATTAGATGTCAAAATTATTTATATTAGATCCTATTTAAAAATAATATAGACTCTAAATTTTTTGGCAACGGTTGTTTTTTAAATAATAATAATTACAGAACTAATTTGTTATATTAACAACAAATTTTAAAATCATGAAATATCAACATTTATTAATTTTCTAAGCATGCAGTGTAATGGAAGGAAAATATAAATAAAAAATTAGAAATCAAAATTATTTATATTAGGTGCTTTATATTACTATTTAAAAATAATATTATTTACTTTTACTGGCATTTACTTTAAAAAATAAATGAAATATTTCTTAGTAAAAAACTACATGTAAGAGAATTAGCATAAACAAAATACACACATCGTTAACTTTTTTTTAAAATTGGCACGTGTAAAACTTTCAATTTAATTTTCTCACCCCATAGTTTGAGTTCGATAACCCCATTTACTTAACCACATTACTTAAATATGATTATTAAGTTCAACTAATTCATATTATTAAAACATCTAAAATACAAATATCTATTTTTAAAATTAATTGTAAGTTCATCTCATCTCTCTTAAAAATTGCTACTTCTCAAAATTTTCCATTAAAAATAGACCATATACCATATATAAAATTAAATAATTGAAAGATTGGGCTACGGAAAATCACAAAAATTTTCGGAAAAATGTTGACCACCTGCACACGCACACAATCGTCAATTAAAAAAAAACTACTATTTTAGTATTTTAAATATTTTAATAAACGCAAAAATAGCACAGTATTTATACAGCGAAGTTATAAAAATTTGGAAGAACTAATAATGCACTGACGCACACAAAAATCAAACGGATACTAAATTTCATTTATCAAAAGCATTCGATAGTTGAGAAGTGTCTAGTCCTAGCCGTCAACTATTAAGCTTGACCAATCAGGTTGGTTAGCGTGGTTATTTGGAGTGTGTTAATTCATTTGTGTTTGTCAAAAACTCTAACGTGATTGGTCGGGCTTAACAGTTGCCTGCTAGGGCTAGACACAAGTCGATAGTTGTGGCTCAACGATAACCATTTAGTGGCACAGCGAGGTTGTCACGTATGCTTTAGTATACAAATGAATGAATGATTTTATTCGAATGAAACCATTCGATAGTTGAAATAATTCATTCAGTAACCATTCGATAGTCTAATTCATTCGATAGTTCCCATCGCTAACTAATATCAGTGTCCCTTTGTTTGGTAAAGCGTTGCGTTCGATAAACTTGTTAGTTCGCATTGAATTGTTAGAATTTTTAAGTGTTTTAAATGGAACCCCCTGTATATTTGTTAATAATTATTTTGTCTTCTTACTAGCTGTTCAAAAATATTTAATAGCGTGAGTCTATTTATACAGGATGAGTCTTAAATAAGTGCAAATATTTTTTTTTCGCGAATTTTCGCGAATTCGCAAGATTTGAAATTTTTTGTAAGAAAAAAAGTAATTTAATTGTAAGTTAAAACACAGTATCTTGATAATATGACAACACATGTGGTAGATTAAATTTACAAGAAAGATACCCCAGAAAAGATCCAGTAGTTCTCAAAATTTAACCAAAAATTTTTTTTTTTTAATTTTCAAAATAAAATAACTCGGGGCAACGGCCCAGCTACGTCGAAACACCGGTTCCCATTAGAACACCGAAGGACGGGTGACCGGTTCGAAACTCTGTATCGTGCTGTTGTCCAAAAAAAGGCAAAAGTGTTAAATCTATTGACACACACTGCTCATTCACGCCGATTCGAGGCCGGATGAGATCGGATATCTCGTGAGTAAGAGTCGATTTAGACACTTGCCAAGTCGGTAGGCCATTGATCATGATATGGCCGAGGACCGCGGTTCGGATTCCGCGTAAACAAAGTAGGCCCCGCCCAGATTAGCCCTGGCAGCAAAAAGGAGACGTTAACTGAAATCTTTACTTTACTTTTTAAAATAACTCGGTTATTTTAGAGTTATTTGAAAAATGGTAAAGCGAAAATATGTTTCATTTATCGAGATCTACCAGCCCTGAAAATATTTGCCCTTATTTAAGACGCACCCTGTATAGTAAGGCCAAAAATACTGGTCTCAGAAAGGAAAACATTTTAAGAGTAATATATACCCTGTATACACACCGACAAAATCATAACTTTTATATTACACAAAAAAAATCTCCAGTTGCAACAAAAATAGGACACTCATTGACTCATTGATAAAAATCAACATCTTTGATACCTACCTATTCTACTCTATATTTATTTTATTTTTAATTTTTAGGACAGCTTCGGAGAAGTAGAGAGACGAGATGGCAAAGTCGGCTTCTTGATCAAAAATTCAGACATCATTCTTCAAAGATACGAAGAAAGGTTGCTAAGAATATCCGTGAAATATTCTGGTACCGAGGTTCCAAATTTGGTTGAATACAGAATCAACGCGGTCACTATTTGTCCCAATTCTATTTCGTGAGTATTTATAGTATACAGGGCGATCCAATGTTCCGAAAAAAGGTTTTGAAAACGGATTGGGAGTAAAAATGAAATATAGAAAGCCTGATATGGAGTTTTCACGTATTATTCGAGCTTTTAAAATATTTTTTTTTCAAACGTCACAAAAGTTTTAAATTTTGTGATGTGATTGTCAATATAAAAAGGTCGTTTTATAACGCCTAGGAATAAACAAAATCAAAATAAAACACTAATTAACTACTAACCACGCAATGATGCAAACATGGTTAGCGAATGCGCGTCCAGTGCAAAAGTAAAAGTGTTTAGGTGTATTGTGGTGAATTAATGTTTTATTTTGCTGTTGCAACATCAAAGGTTCCAACTTCCAACTGTAAGCCTCGGCATAAAAGTAAAGCACTTTTACGCTTCAGCACAAAAGTATAAAGATATGTTATTAAACAGACATTAAGTGTCAAATTCAATGAGTGCATTGTTGATCGATATAATATTTACGAGGTATTTCTTTTTATCCTAAAAGATCTAGACTTTTTTAAATATTTAAAAACTTATTCGCGACGTTTGAAAAAAATAACATGTTCTATTCGGAGTAAAATGTACTTTTTGTGCCTCGCCTGTAACGTAAAACCCTTGTATATATATTTTTGGGTTGGTTTGTAAAACGTACAGCCTCGCAACAAAAAGTATCATTTTTACTCCAAATAAAACAATATACTATTTTTCAGAAATAATGGTTTATATCCCAATGACAAAAATGCCTCTTCTGATTATCTATCCTCCAGCATCACTTCTGAAGGTCAACAAGCATTTTCTCAAGAAAACTGTGGACAAACCGCATCAAAAGACACCTATCCCTGGCAAGCATCCATCTTCACCAAACAAAACAACACAGAGCACTATACCTGCGACGCTACTTTAGTCTCCCCTAAACACCTTATCACTGCAGCTCATTGTATTACCTACCTACGCACTTCGTACCCAATCTCTCCTAGATCTTTGAAAATATACTTCGATCAACACGATCTGAATGACATTGACACCCTCTACTTTGCCAAAAAAATAACACTGTATCCTGGATATTCCTCAGAGAATTTTTTGAATGATATCGCTATCATTGAATTGGATGCACCTAAAAAGGGTAGTTTTGTGTGTTTGGCAGGGGAGAGTAGTGCAGTTGAGGAACAAGGACTATTAAGTGGGTTTAGGATTGAGAATGATGGATTTGGTAAAGCTGGAGCTGCTAAAATTGAGAGAATCGATGATGGGAAGTGTCTAGATGGTCTTTTTGGAGAGTTTAAGGAGTTGTTGGGTGACGAAAATTATTGTGCTTCATATTTGAAAGGTATTTATTTAGAAATTGAACATACAAAAGAGTCTATACCATGTTTAAACATAGAAACAATACCATGTAAATTTTAAGAATAATTTTCCCCATTTTAATTTACAGAAAAAATTATCTGAAATTTTCAAAGAACTACTTCAGTCCATTTTACTGGCCCGAAAAAGTAGCAAAATTAGCGTTCGGCATTTAACGTTTTATGTAAAACTGGAGTATTTTTACACAAGTGAAGAAGGAAATTAATGATAAAGGATTATACTATCCGTATTGTAGCACATTTTTATACAACTTTTTTATTTTTAAGATTTCGATGGTCAAACATCAACAAAATATTCCTTATGTTTGGACTAAATTTTCTCGACAATAAAGATATAGTTTAGAATTCCGTTGCAATACGGAAATAGATTGAAGTTTTGTGATTTCAGTGATATATAATTTATATGGTTTTGTAACAAATTGCTCGCTTTTATGGCAAATTCTGAAGCTCTGCAAACCTTAATAAGCCTCCCCAAACACAAAATCATATTTATTTATTTTATTTAGCGTATGGCATATTAAGACACAAAGTACGTATATGACAAAAAGAAAGAAAAAAAATTACAAATAAACATTTAACAAATTTATTGATTTTGGTGTTGCCAGTAGGAAATGTTCTGGTCTGCCGTTATAAGCCGTTTCAGGACATACCTCCACGATATGTTCCTCCACACAAAATCATAAAAAAAATCTCTGCAGAAATGTATCACTCTCTTTTTTCCGACTTTAGAATAACTGGAATCCGTTACATGAAAACGTGTTTCTATTTTATATTCTAAACAGTTTTCTACAATGTAACACATTTCTAAACAGTGTAGGTACGAACTTAACCTTCTTCCTTCTTCTTCTTCTTAGGCCGCCGCCGCCGTCTTCCTTCGGAGGTTGGCGATCCAACTGACTATGATGGTGCGTGAAACCGCACCTCTGAAAATTTCGATCGATGTTCTTCCGAACCAACGACGCAGATCCTTAAGCCAGGAGTTTTGCCTTCTTTCCACTGATCTCCTGCCCTCAATTTTGCCCTCGATGACCAGTCTGAGCACCTCGTATCGATCACCCCTCATGATGTGACCGACTTACTGTAACTTCCTTTCCTTCACTGTTGATAGGAGCTCTTTATCTTTGCCCACCCGCCTGAGTACCTCCTCATTTGTCACTCTATCCATCCAGGATATACGCAGCATAAGACGATACAAGTACATCTCAAAAGCGTTAATGCGGTTTTCCAATGTCTGATTGAGTGTCCAACTCTCAGAGCCGCAGAGAAATACTGGAAAGATGTAGCAACGCAGCATACGTATGCGCAGTTCGAGGCTTAGGAGAAGAGGGTTTTCATGGAAGTAAAAGTACGTCTGGCCTGTTCGATCTTCGCTAAAATTTCAGTTTTGGGGTCGCAAGCGTCGTTAACTAGGGATACTTTATGGACGATACTTGTTCTACCACCTTTTGTTGTTAATTCTGAGGACAGTCTTTCCCAATGTTTTGGAAAATACAACAAGTTTAGTTTTGTTAACATTGATGTGTAATCCGTACTGCACGCTATGTTCAACGATATTCTGAAGGTGTAGAATGTTGCCAGCCAGTACGACCGTATCATATGTGAAGCGAATATTGTTGATCAGGGTACCATTGATTTTGATACCATCCTCAACGCTCTCTAGTTCCTCACGGAATACCGCCTCGGAGTAGATGTTGAAAAGGAGTGGGAATAATACACACCCCTGCCTGAATGACCTTGCAATGAACTTAACCTAGTAGTTCAGTTATTGGTGATTTTTGCTTGGAAAAAAGTCCGGAAGTTTTGCAACTTTGCAGGTTTATAGGTTTTGGGGTCCCTAACTAAAATCCATAAAATGCACATCTCCATACTTGACGCCGGCGCCGCCATCTTGCCAAGATGGCGCCCAAAATCGGTATTTTGTGAATATCGCGAAAATTTGACTAGAGCATATTGATTAAAAATTAAAGAGAATAAAATTTCCTATAAAAAAGGTTTTATGAAAATTTTCGCTAAAGTCAACCGTTTAGGCACAAAATCCCTGGAAATTTTACAATTTTGCGTAAAATTTGATATATTATGTATAGTCGATTTTCCGAAATCAAATGTCGATTAGGGTTCACTAAAACTAGTTTTAGTTTAGTTTCTTCAATTTTGTCATAAAACAGTGGCGTATCATTAATTCGCTCATTAATTTATGAATAATAAATTTTAATTATTGAAAATGTATACTTGGTTCCACACCACCCAAGAGGTAAAGTATATGGCGCGTTTATTTTAACGTGGTCTCCCCGTAGGCCTCCGGGGAGACCACTAGATAAATTAAAAACTTTAACTTATCTGCACAAGCCCGACGGATCTGGCTCATTGATGTCAAAGTCGATCGTGTCTGCTGTGCTGGGCTCATCAGGGTGGTCTCTCAATACGTCCAACTCTTCATCTTCAGCCGCCAGAGGGATATCTACAGGCAAGTCCAACTCCTCTTCATCGGAATCGTCGAGTGACACTTCAGTGACGTTGTCAAAGGATTTCCCATTGCAGTATGCACAAATCATTGAACGTTTTAATCCTGCTTTTCTGCATCCGCAGGCTTTATCATAATTGTTGATTTTGCATTTACAGGATAAAAATGCCAACAGGGATTTTGGAGCTGGATTTTTCAACGTTGTGACTGGAGTAATGCCTGCTTTTGGTAATTTTTGGTACAACCAGACCAATGCTGAACCTGGTAAGCTCGCAATGAATGCTGTCCAGCACGACAATTAATTATTCATAAATTAATGAGCGAATTAACTCCCCTTCTAGAGCCAAACTTATTCTTAATTTTGAAAATTTACATGGGTTTTCTCACGTTTAGGTCGACAATGCAACACACGATATAAACACAATAAAAACACAATAAAACATAATAAAAAATCGGATTTAGGATTTTTAATCATAAATGCATAATTGTAATGTTATGCAAGTTATTTCTGTTTGCAGATGGTGATAGCTGTGTAGGAACCAGTGGCAGTGGACATATAACTGAAAACTCCGGAAAATGGTACTTACAAGGCATTTTGAATGCAGGGATATTGCTTCAGGGCAAGTCAAAATGTAAAGACTCCGATTCTTTGGTACTCACAAACATCAATTTATACTCTAAGTGGATCCGACGAGAAATATCAAGAGATCTTTAAGAAAATATTTAGTTTTTATTTAACATTTATTAAACATTTATGTTATTAATTACTATTATTATTTTTATTAAGTAATGTAACGCTTGCTGTATTAATATGTAATGACTGCAATATTTTATTCTATTTTTTACTAAATAAAGTTTTATAAAAATATTATACAGGGTGATCTTTAATGACATGCTAACATTTAAGGGGGTGATTTTTGAATCTATTTTAAGAAAATACTTCACATATGAACGTATGGCATATACTAAGGGCTGGCAAAGCTTAGTCTTGGGTCGAGATTTCCGTATGTAAGAAGAGTACAATGCGTTTTATAATGTACCGAACAAAGAGGGAACAGTAAACAGGTTGCCAAACACATGAAATAAACCGAGAAACTGTGCACATATTAGCTTTGTTCGGGTTCTTGTTATTACCGATTCTGAACCGTCCTAGAACTCAGCAAATGAAATAATGTCTTCATATTTCCTTCTGCGCATACGCATCACAGTTCTAGGACGGTTCAGAATCGGTAATAATAATAACCCGAAAAAAGCTATTAGCTTACTTCGGATTTCTCTTATTACCGGTTCTGAACCGTCCTAGAACTGTGATGCGTATGCGCAGAAGGAAATATGATGATATTATTTCATTTGCGCATGCGCTGCAGAGTTCTAGGACGGTTCAGAATCGGTAATAACAAGAACCCGAACAAAGCTATTGCTAAGAGACGTGGAAGGGGATATAGCAGATTTGTCGTAGTCGAGCGGCCGACCCAATCAGTACCTCTGTCAGTACTTAAAATTTTAGGGAAAGGTGTACATCATGCGTTCAGCTTCAAGATTTAATTACGTCTCGTGATACTTAATTTGTTTATTTATTATCTCTCGAAATCTCGAGATATCTCGAAATCTATTAGAAATAATAGATTGTAGTTTTTTCAAGAACTTTGTTAATATTTCTGCTGTATTTTCTTTGTAGACAGTATGTGAAAATCTTCATCAATAAAAAAATTACACGATTGCTAAAAATTGCTATGCTCTAAAAGTAAATGGATGGATTGTTTACAATTTTTGAATGGAAAAAACAACCTTATCGAATTTTTCTTATGTAAACATATTGTAAAATATCCGATCTTGAAAATAAAAAAAAGTTTCAATATCTAAAGTGGTTCTTGAGTTATGGCCTGTTATGTGTTAAAAGTTGAGTTTTTAAATTATCGCGATTACTGACGTTTTCTCGTTATAAAAAAAATGACACCCTAACGATATCCTTATAATTCCATTTCAGATGCTCAGAAACATGTCTAATGATTTTATCTAGTTATCTCTTTAAAAAAAGTCTTTTAAAAATAAGCGGTTTGCGATCGTGATTTTACTTTACTTGATAGGGAATGGCGTATCGGCAACGCCGCAACAGCACACCGTCGCGCGTCGCCTCGTTCGGTCGCATTTCTCTCACTCAGACTTAATAAGGTCCCTATGCGATTTACTTCCACACATGTAAATGCCGACCCAAAAGTAACAGTTGCCAGCACGGTATGTATGTTTATCTTATGAACCGTTATAGCTAGACAGTTGAAATTTTTACAGATAATGTATCTATGTTGCCGCTATAAGAACAAGTACTAAAAACAGAATTAAATAAATGTTTATAAATAAAAAAGTACTTTCACTAAACATTATCTTTCAAATAAGAATTTTACATAGAATCTTACAAGTCCTCGGTGGCCGCGTGGTAAGCCTTAGGACTTTACGCTGCTATGACGTTGGAGCCGTAGTAAGGCAGGTTCGAATCGTAGTCAAGGCGACTTTTTTTAATCGTTTTTTTTTAATTTTTACATATTTATTTTTACTTTTTACATATTTATTATTGATTAATACAATTTTTAGTAATGTGTTTCTTGCAAAAAAAACATAAAAAAAATAAAAATTGGCAAAAAAGTTTATAATAATATAGTGTCTAATGTTGTATAGATAATGAATGGTACGGAACCCTTCGTGCGCGAGTCCGACTCGCTCTTTGCCAATTTTTATTTTTGTACATCAAAAAACACACTATGATGCATAGAAGAGGTGTTTCATATGTATAGATATCTACAATATCATCAAAAACTAAAATGTTTGGACATCATATAATTTTGTTTTCATAGACTAGTTCCAAGCCTTAAATATTACCATGTCATTATCGAACACCCTGTATACTTACTGTTTTTTTTCTTGTCAGTAAAATCATGGATAAAGGAATCAAGTATCTTTATTGATGAGTAAAATTGACACTAAAATCTCCCTATCTAGCAAGAAAATAAAAAAAATTGTGTGCACTATGAGCCTATACTTATTTGAAGTGAAACACTTTATCTATGGTGAAACAGTTATTAAATTGCAGGATTTGAATGACATGTTTGAAAAATGTAGTTTGAATTGTTGAAAAAGTAATAAATTAAAAAAATATTTTTTTATGCTTAACAAATAGTTTTTTACGCGTAAAATAAAAAAAATTAATAAATAATTTGATTCAGTTCGCGTCACTTCGTATTTCTAAGCGCGCGTCCTTACCACTTTCGTCTCGCGTGTCGTTTCGTTAGCTCGTATGTCACGGCTTTGAATTTTTACTCCCAGCGCGCATAAAGAAGTTTTACTTCAAAAATTCGTAAGACAACACCCGAAAATTCACGCCTCACTAAGATAGTTAATATACTTTTTCCTTAATCTTTTTATTTTTATTTAATTTCTTGTTAACGATTGTGAATTTTGACATTGAAAGTAAAAAAAAGTGGAAATTTATGTTTAAATATAGTTTTTAGTTAACATATTTTCATATATTTATTATTCTACATATTTTCTGGTTGTTCATATTTCAGGCTAACTTTCAGCTTGTTCTTCTCATTAACCTCCCTCCCCCCTCTTACTCATTTTACATTCTACCACTTTTCGTCTCGCGTGTCACTTCGCCTAGGAGATGCAAGACCTTGTCGTTGGTGGGGAAGCTCCTGGTGGGGGGAATCCCCCTAGCGCCTGGCTTGGTCTAACATTCTAACAAGCATTTCACTCATCGGCTGTAGTGTCGTGGACAGGGAATTGCATCAAGACATATAACGATGCCGGAAGAGGCTACCCCTGTCCGTCATACCAGGCACCCTCTATTGACTGTGGTCATACCTCGCGGGTAGAGAGTGTGGGGGGGTCTTGGCTTAACCGCCTGGACCAAGAGGAGACAACCGCACCAAAAACCTAAATCCTACGATGGCGGGACCAGGTCAAAGGGATGCGTGGCTAGATAGAGGACTAGCCATTACTCGCCTCAACCTTGGGGCATCAGGGGGCACCCCATTATATTTACCCCTTACCTCTACATGCAGGGCTCTGTAGAAGTGAACCGACTATCCCTAGCGACTCGTGGGAACACTAAGAGATCTAGCATTAAAAACACTTGAAAGTTGTCACATGAAAGTTTCAAAGGAACAAATCCAAAGGAAACTACAAAAGGAGCGGCTGACATTTGCTTGGGATCATGCTCCACAAGTGGCACACAAGCTACCACCTTCTCCAGCAAGGGTCGGGAGCCTACGTCTAGACCCAATAAGCGACACAAGCTACCGTTTCGTCTACCCGGCCTGGGTCAACCAGGCGGGCTAGACGATCATCTGAGAGTAGGTCTTAGCGGAGCAGAAGCACGGAGATACCTCCGACTGGTCCACGAAGGACTTGCTCCGGAGGAAGCAAAAGCGAAAACACTCCTCCGAAAAGGGGAGAGTAAAGAAACCAAGAAACAACCTCACTCATCTCCATCAAAGGGCAAGAGAGGGAGCGAGAACCTCTCACATCTTCTCCGGCAGGGAGAGGAAAAAGCCAGGATGGAAAGCCGTCCAATACCGGGAGGCAAGCAGGGACGTATCACCAGCTTTGCCGCTATTGCTGGACAAGTGAAAGTGGCGGTGCTGCCAAAGGATTTCCCAGAGGTTGCTCTAACCACCGACCAGCAAACGTCTCTAGAAGAGGCTATACTGGACTAAGTAGTGGCGATCGGATCGCGACACAACGATCTACAAACTGTGGGTCAGCTGCGTTTTGCGGGGATACATTTTCGGGTGGGCATGATCCTCATAGATTGTGTATCTCAAGAATCGGCGAATTGGTTGGGAGAAATCGCACCTTAGCTTAAAAATTGGCAGGGGCCGGAACTGGTTGCAGTGAAGGGAGAAAACATCCTTAAAGGGGTGGCCATCACGGTCTTTCTGCGGACGAGCAAGGGGAAAGACAACACCTACCTGCTGAGCCTTATCCAGGGTCAGAACCTCAATGTAAGGACATCGAGTTGGCGAGTCATCAACTCGAGGGAGGAGGGTGATGGTCAGGTCCTCACAATAGGAATTGACCTCAAATCCAAGGAGGCAATAGAGAAAGAGGGACATATCCTCTATTATAGATACGGGACAACACCGGTATCAGGTATAAGGAGAGACCAAGTTAAAGAGATGGAGAAAACGGAGACAGATCCTCCAGCCTCCACCTCACGGGTTCCTCAGCCGGTTAGGGGCCAAACTCCAACCGTGGAAGAGTGTGTACCCTCGGAGGAAGAACTGTTGTCAGAGGAGGATGAGAAATACCCTGTCCCCTCTACAACAGATGTGTGATGACTCAAGGAAGGGGGGCACAATAGAACTTCAAGGTCGCAGTGATTAACCCCCCCCTCTTACTCATTCTACATTCTACCACTTTTCGTCTCGCGTGTCTCGTATGTCACGACCAAAAATTACGCTCATTAAGATAGTTAATATACTTTTTCCTTAATCTTTTTATTTTTATTCAATTTCTTGTTAACGATTATGAATTTTGACATTGAAAGTAAAAAAAGTGGAAATTTTAGTTTTTAGTTAACATATTTTCATATATTTATTATTCTACATATTTTCTGGTTGTTCATATTTCAGGCTGACTTTCAGCTTGTTCTTCAGGCTGTTCTTTAAGTTGTCCTCCAGCTTGATCTTCAAATTGTTTCTTAACTTGTTCTTCAGGTTGCTCTTCAGGTTCTACTCCAGCTTCTCCTTCAATATCTTTTTTAACTTTTTCTTCAAATGGTCCGTCAAGTTGTTCTTCAAATTCTACTTCAGATTTTATCTCAACCTCAGTTTGAAGGACATCATCTCCAGTCTCGTCAATTTCATCTAAAAATAAAATATTTCTTTTGCAAATAAATTATTTTTTTTTCTTACAACTCGTCAAATCAATAACTTATTTGAGAAACCCCATATGTCGTGATTTCATCCATTTTGAGATATGTAAAATTACACTCCTTATATGTTGTCGATACATCGTCTATAGTGAAAAACCCTGTTAGATTAGAAAAAAATCAGCCTGTTGCAGTGGCGGATACAGAGGGGGGCCCATGGGACCCGGCCCCCCCCCCCTAAAATCTGTAAATTGGGTTAAATATTAGGCTTTTGGGTTAAAAATGGCGCTCTAAAAGGCATATTTTGCATTATTTTTCATTTGGACCCCCCCCCTAAAATAAATTTCTGTATCCGCCCCTGGCCTGTTGTCATTTTTTCCTGTCGTTGCTTTTTAGAAAATCAAAAATTTTTTCATAGGCATTCTCATAACTACTTTGTCAGAGCTATCTAATAGCATTTTTAGATTTTCAAATTAGCTGATAATTTGTGAGATACATACAGGCCAAACTAAATTTTTTTAAATACGGACCTGCATTTTATGTTTGAGGTTTTGAAAGAATTCAGGAGCCCTTCAATGTAGCACTCTGTATATACAGGGTGGGCCACTGAAAACTTACAATGGCTATAATTTTTAAACCAAAAAGATATCAAAAAAATAAAAAATACCGTTTCTATAATATCGAAGGGGAATACATATGACGTATTTTTTGAACCACCCCGACCTATCCCTAGGCGGCACACCTACTCACTTGAAAATCTTAAATGGCAACACCCCACTTGTGGCGCCTTTTTGAAAAGCCCATGAAAAATGCTAAACGATGTCATCAAGTTTTTGGGGTGAAATTGAAAAACTACCCCTTACACGAAAAATTAGGTGGACATTAATGAAAAAGGTGCTTTTTTCAGCATAAGTTACAAATTGGGACCCAGCTAAATGAGGCAAATGAGGTATTTTTCAAACCACCCCAACCCACCCCTAGGTGCCACCCCCTCACTTCTAATCTCAAGATAGCGATACCCCACTTGTGACACTTCTTTGGAAAGCTAATTGAAATTGCTAAACGATGGTCATACAGACTTCAACTTAATTACTGGTAAGTAGTGATAAGAAATGTAGGTGTGACAATTTGAAAGAAATTTAAAATGACAATTTATTTTAACAATTGCTCAAAATGATTTGTTCCGTTTTGTTCCATACAAAAATACAAACGATTTTCAAATTGTTCTCTCACTTTTTGGAAAGTCTCTCTCGGAATATTTCGACATGCTTCAGTTCTCCTCTGCCGCAATTCTTGCAACGAACCTGGTTTTGTCTTGTAGACTATGGATTTAGAGTAACCCCACACAAAAAAAGTCTAAAGGAGTGAGATCAGGTGACCTTGGCGGCCACTCGATTGGACCCATTCTGCCAATCCATTGCCTTGGATAATATTTATCCAACCACCGCCTTGTGACAATAGAATAATGCGGAGGGGTTCCATCTTGCTGAAAGTGTATGAGGTTTTCATTAAGAGTTATAATAAATTTCTTTGTACCAGTTTTTTTCTCGCAATGGTACGTGGATACAAAAATAATCCATTCTATTGATTTTGACACGTTTTGACATTTTTTTTTATTTTTAGCTCCATTTTTTTCGTTCTTTTTTATGACAGCCGTTCAGCATTTTTTATACGCTTTCCAAAGAGGTGTCACAAGTGGGGTATCGCTATCTTGAGGTTAGAAGTGAGGGGGTGGCACCTAGGAATGGGTCGGGGTGGTTTAAAAATACCTCATTTAGCTGGGTCTCAATTTGTAACTTATGCTGAAAAAACCACTTTTTTCATTAATGTCCACCTAATTTTTCGTGTAAGGGGTAGTTTTTCAATTTATGTAACTTTCAAATATCAAAGGTTTGAGGTGAGGTTTTAATAAGTTGAAGCTTTAAAAACACATAATGTATTTAAGAAAACAGAAGAAATATGGCTTTAAATATAATATTTACATCATATTATCTCTATTACACCTAATACAAAGGAAAATTATTCATAATATCAATACATAGTTTATTAACGTAGTTTTCATGTAGTTAATGAACGGGAAAAGACGTAGTTTTTGAAGAAAAACTACAAGTAGTTAATCAGGTAAATTACGTCTTAATTAACTACTTCCGAACCCTGGTGCCGCCTCAGGGGTAGGTCGGGGTGGTTCAAAAAATACGTCATATGTATTCCCCCTCCATATTGTAGAAACGGTATTTTTTATTTTTTTGATATCTTTTTTGGTTTAAAAATTTTAGCCATTGAAAGTTTTCAGTGGCCCACCCTGTATAATTTTTTTTCATATACTCGCTATTTAAACCCGTGTATTTGTATATGACGATTATCTCCGATGGTGGCAGCACCAAGCCTACATCTCAAATTTAATTCTTCCTTAAGGCTTTTAATTGAATGTTTATTATTATAATTACTCTACCTGTTTGTTCGGGTAGGACATCTTCAGTAACTTTGGCGATGGCGGCACTGATAATGTATCCCATCGAATGTTTAACTATACTGCTGGTGGTAGAGACCTTCATTGATGCTTTAGTTTGATCTCCCAGATCTGTGTCAAAATCGACATGGGGAATGACAGTGTTGTAGTTAATGGTGACGGATTTCGGTCTGTAATAAATAAAATTCTCATGATTTTCATTCTGAAATTGTAGACGATCTGTCATTTCAAACAAAAGTGTTATACAACTACGATGGTTTACTTAGTTATCTCCAGGTTATCTCAATCTCCGTTATCAAGTAGACGTTGAAGAGAAATGAGACATCAGACCATCTCAGACCAAATAATATAAATCAGATCTAGTATTTCATACAAACTTTTAACCTTCACTCAGAACAGAATTTGAATGTAAGCATTCAGAACGTCAAAATTAGTGATAGGAATTATCAAATAGTGGAAAAAGTTACCAAACTTTTAACTTTTCCACTAATTATACCTCAATATTTGCGAGGAATGTCATTTTCGCCTTTGATTATCATCCGTCAAGAGAAAATCGTCCCATTGCTGCCAAAAGTCACTAACTTGCTTTTTATTACTTCCGAGAAAAATGCGTCTAAAGATGAATTGCATTGCATAAAGATGTTATCCCAAGTAACATTTTTCGGAGCCTAAAGTTTTATTAAAAGGTAACGGGTATTATAAGAGGTTTATAAGGAACCTTAACATTTATAAGAGTGTTTAAAGTCTTATAAGAACACTATTGGTGTTAAAAGTTTTGTAACGCCTTGAAAAAATACCAAAATGCTTGAAGTTTTATAACATTGCATCCAAAATGTTTTCGTTACCTTATTTATAAAACCTTTGGTGTTGGTTACTTAAGGTTTTTTTAAAAGGGTTTTATAGCGTTCTTAAAAACCTTATTATGAAACTTTTACTCTTGGGGTTTTATAGCTTACTTCGTAAAACCCTTATAAATCCTAAGGCACTTAATAAATATTCTACAGCTACTACAAAACCTAAAGAATTTTATAAAACTAATAGGCCCAGTAGCAACTACTTTCATGTGTAGAATAGGGGGCGCTATATTTTTAAGGTTAGGTTATGTTTTATATTCCTGTTTTGCTTTTGTAAATCAAAGATGGAAGAAGAAAGAAAAAATTGGAAAAAAATTAAATACAGTAGCAGTTTTTATAGAGTGTGTTAAAACCCGTAAAAATATTTTGGGAAGCACACCACTCACAACTACTAAAAATTACCAAAACTTAGACGTTCCTCAAGAAGATATATTGCCAAATACTTCGACTGAATCGACTGCCACCGATGAAGGAAGGGGCAAGGGACCTTTGGAAGAATGTATAGATATCAGGGAAAACTGGTCAAAGACGGTGTTGATTTTCCATCTTCTGTGGTATGGACAATTTTTAAACGCATTGAAGGGCTTTGTTTTAATTATTTAGATTAAAAAATTGTTTTGCAAAAGCCAAAACGCCCGAAACAAAAAGAAAACATAAAACTATTAAGTATCACAAATTACAAAAGCACCTAAGCTTTTATTGCAAGAGCAAAATTCGCATAAGACACCTAAGGAAGTGTTTATGGGAAGTGTTATAAGAGTTTTTAAGGTGTTGATGATTACTTAAAGGCCCATATACAACTAGAGGTTTTTAAAAGGCGAAATGGCAAACATGACGTCCTTTTATAAGGCGGCCATTTTATGTTTGTGTTGTTGTACATACACAAAAAAGAAGAATATTGCATTTTAAGCAATATTACCGAACCTTTAAGACGTATTTTTTCAAAAGCATGGGGTTAAGAAATGTTGCGCAGTTTATTTGCAAAAAAAAACAAATCATGAGACGTAATTTTTATTATTTGGTTTTTACAAAATAAATTATATTTGGGTTCTAAACGAGGGCGCTTTAGTTTTAAGAAAGGTAAAATGTTAATATTACTCGATAAATCTTCCGTGCCAATATAATTTAGTCATTACAGAATTCTTACAGAGTATTTAACTTGTTATGATAATTATTATAACACACCATTTTTATCAAAGTGAAAATCCATTGCTGTCAACTTTAAAAAGTACAAGCAGAATAATAATGACAAGGACTTGAAATAGAATATATGGCAAACGAACATTGTAGAAAGAGATGAACTTAAAAGGGGCGTTTTTTATTTAGGTGTTTATAAACACCGTAGATCAGGAAGTTTATAATGGCTATTATAAGGAATATTAAACGTTTTAAAGCGATAACGAAAATGTATTCCTTGCCGCTATAAAACTTATTTATGGTTTATAAAGGTAACGACAACCTCTTAGTTACCAATAAATGGAGAGTAAAGGTCACGTTAAAGGTTTTATAAGGTATTAAAATTTAGTCACTGTTACCTTTATAAGATTCTCCATTTAAGTGCTATAGGGGTGTTATAAGGGTAACGAAAACGTTTCGCGAACAATTGATAGGCTGTTAGGTTTTATTAAGTAGGTTATCGAAACGTAACCATTACCATTATAAAACAAAAAATGTTAGTTGGGATAGTTAGTAACTATTCGGTAATAAAATAAAACATAAATAGCCAGAAATCGTAGTTAATGACTTTTGCAATCGATTCTCCGCTTCAAAACATAGTTAGTGATTGAATTTGGTTGTTCGGAAAAATGTTAGTTAGTGACTTTTGGCAGCAATAGGACGAAATGTGGTTATAAATCAAAGGTTTATTGTTTTATAAGCTTTTATTAGGCTTTCTCTATGGATACAACAGTTATATAGAGAAAGCCTAATATTTACGTTATAAAACAATCAACTTTTTATTTCTAACCACAATTTCTTTTGACGGAAGATAATCAAAGGCAAAAATGACGTTTCTCGCAAATTTTGAAGTATAATTTGTAGAAAAGCTAAAAGTTTGGAAACTTTTTCCACTAATTGAAAATGTCTACCACTAATTTTTACGTTCTGAATGCTTACATTTAAATTTAAGATGACTTAGCCCTTGCAAAACAACAATCAGCATGATGAGATAATTTTATCCAATGATCTGAAACTTCTGTCACGATACTTTCAAAGATGGCGACTCACACCATGTATTACGAACACTAAGACATCGAGAAGCTCCAGTTTGCATGATAGTGCCACCACTGGTATAAAAAAGATTTACATAATGCTACTACCATGCTAGTGCTGACCAGAGTTGTTATTACTACACGTAGTAATTAATAAATTACATTTACTACATGTCACAAGTAGTTTTTTAAATGTCGAGTAGTAAATGTGTAGTTTATGTAACTAATGTGGTTTTTTTAATAACAGTAAAAGCATAACCTAAAAACTTTGTTTGTTGATCAATTTAAAGAAATAAAAAATCTATATTTTGTGAATTTGTTCCTTATTATGTGATATTTTTGATACTTAGTAGTTAAAAATGGTTGGAAGACGTCAATGTCTCCATACCTTGCTCCATACCTTCTGGGAAGAGGGGAATTATGAAGTTGTGCCTTTAGATGTAAAAAATCATATATTCTCCTGGAGAATGTCTATGGAGAATTTCTCCATAAGAATTTACAGTTTATTTTGTGTTCAATGTTACTTTGTATTTCATAGAAAATACACTTTTGTTGAAAACAAATCGTCTTTTTTTCTGATGTTGTTTAACTTATACAAATATAATATAACTTCATACTTCCATGATAAAAATTTGGCTTGATTTTTGTTTAAAGTCTAAATTGTTTATGTTTTACTATATTTTTTTGGTAGTTTTTAACATAGTTTTTGAAGGTAGTTTTTAAAATTCTAAAACGTAGTTAATACAAAAAACTACTCGTAGTTTTTGGCGTAGTTTTTTGCTTCATAAACTACTTAACAACCCTGGTGCTGACGCACCAGTAAAACTACTGGGTACGTGTATCAGCTTTTACCTTTCTATACCATCATCTTCATCGTCTTCCATAAGTCCCCTTTGATAATCACGATATTGGTCATATTCTTCATCGCCATCTTCAATCGCGTAATCAAAATCGTCCACTTCGAGATGCATGGGGAAGAGGTTTTCGTAATCCATGGTGGCCAGCGCTTTCATCATACGCCTTGTATAATATCCTCTGTATGCAGCCTATTAAAAACATTATACACGATATTTTACTGTATAGTGTGTAAAATGTACAAGTCCGAAAAATATCAGGAGGTGATTGCTTGCTCGATAATAAGGGAGGGTTTTCATAACAAAAAAATTCTATGAGACGTTTCCCTCACAACCTGTACAGGGTGCGTCTTAAATAAGTACAAATATTTTAAGGGCTGATAGGTATCGATAAAAGAAACATATTTTCTCTTTACCGTGTTTCAAATAACAATTTTTTGCTAAAATTTTGAGAACCACTGGATCTTTTCTGGATTTTTTGTCTTGTAAATTTAATCTACTATTTATGTTGCTATATTACAAACAAATTATGTTTTTAACTAAAAACTAAAAAAAATCCAAAAGTTTTTTTAAAAAATCCAAATTTTCAATTTTTTTTTCGCGAAAAAAACCTCATATAGTCGTGTTTCTGGAGTCGAAATATACTATATATTAGTAATGAGAAAAACCGATTAATTTCAATAATCGAGTACTCGACATTCAAGCAATTTCATTAATCGAGCGATCGTTTGAATGCGAAATTGGGGCAAAGTTGCGCTTTGGAATGTTTACTAATATGCCATCAAAAAAGTTTCAAAAATTTCGAGAATTACTGAGTTTTTTGGAAAAACTGATTTTTTTGAAAATCAATTTTATTTTTCCCTGTCGTTCCTTTTGAGAAAATTAAAAATCTAATTGCACATTCTCATAGCCACTTTATTAGGGCTATCTGATAGTATTTTTAGATGTTCAAATTAGCTGATAATTTGTGAGATACAGAGGCTAAATTATTTTTATTAAATACGGACCTGCATTTTTTATTTCAGGTTATGAAAGAACTCGGTCTCCTGAGTACAATGATATGCCACACTTAACATTTTTTCTTGTTTCGGACATTTGAACACAATTTATTTAAACTAATTTCAAGTCCGGCCCTGTTTTTTTAAATATTTAATCTATTGATCGTTAAAATATTGATAAGCTTCCAAACATAACAATAACGTGGGGTAAAACATTGAATACGGAAAATCAAAAAAATGCTATAACAATAAATAATATAAATATAATATAATATAAACAATCAAATCATTTCCCCGGAAGATGAATTGGAAATGGTAGAGCAGTATAATGAACGAAAAATAAATTTGTGCATTAGGGATGGTTGTAACCCTTTCGAACATGTAGAGCATTAGAAACTAGTTTGTAGAAGTTGATTTATTTATAATAACTGCGATTAATATCGTACACTGAGGTTTCAAATTTACAATAAAAAAAGTTAAAAATATTTTGTTTAAATTGCTGAGCTGGATATTATTTATTTGAATATTTCAGTTCCTGATTTCAATCGATTTTCCTTATTCTTTGTTAATTAGCGCTGATTCAATATTGTTGCAATGAATATAATCATATTAAATAATTTAAAAAACCAGAGTCGGATTTAAAATTGTTTTAAATAATAATTAAATAGTTTTGTTATTGTTAAGGTATCCAAAACAAAAACAAAATATCAACTGTGGCATATCATTGTACTCAGGAGACCTAGTTCTTCCAAAACTTGAAATAAAAAAACTTAGCAATCCTTGAAATTTTTAAAACTTTCTTGATGGCATCTTGGTGAACATCCTAAGGAGCAACTTTGACCCAATTTAACCATCTTCGTATCTATTACGATTTTCGAGATACCAATGCTCGAACCTCGAATTTGTAGCACCCTGTATACTACCTTATAAAATAAAAATAAAATAAAACAAACAAATATACTAAAAATATTTGCATGTTTACATTTTCACAAAATCACATCGATTTATTTTAAAAATGTCTAAAAAGTTATCACCTCCTAAATTTTTTCGCACATATTCGTTTAAAACGAATAAATTGAAAAATCAATTTATTATTCTAAATAATTAAAAAACTCCTATTTCGAGGTAAAATTGGAGCCTTAACTCTATTTGAATAAGTAAAGGGAACTAAATTTGTCTGTATTTGACGAGGTACGACGAAAGTTAAATTACCTTAATCAAAGTTGCAGCCCTGTTTGCCTCCTCATTAGTGACACCGGTGTGCCTGTACAGTCGTATGGCGCTCCTGGCAGCTATTCTCCAATCGATCAAGCCAGCTAAGAGTTTCTTTTCGTGTTCCTCGCGCTCTTTGAAACGTCTGTCAAAAGAAAATACTTGTAAAATTTATAACATTGTTTAATATAAAAAGTAGTAGGAATCACGATATACACTATAACCTCTCTTATAATAAAGAGATAGGTAGATACAGGGTGGCGCACCAAATTCGCCTCGTTAGATTACAGGAAAACGAAAAGATATAGAAATAAAAATTTTAGGGATATACGTGGGGAAGCAACAAGCACAATTTAAAATTGTTTTGAAATATACAGGGTGTTTCAAAACTAAGATTCATAGCAAAGTTATATTTTTTCTTATGTAATACACGGTATTTTATGTAATTTTTGGATTCTTGAACCTAAAAAAGGCATTTATCTATTAAAAGTGTTCAATATGTTTAAAAACTTTGGTTTTTGAGATATTTAAATATGCATGCTATAATAAAAAAGATTTTCAACACCCTGTACATTACTTTTCAGAATTAATTCTTGTGCTGAGTTTAAAGGTAGAGAAATAAACTTTACTGAAAAATTTGATTGCTTCCTTAAATATATACAGGGGTACCAAAAATGGCTATTCTTTTTTTTTTTGAATATTTATTTTACTCTTTCAAACTATATTAAGGTGCGTATTCATTATCCGAACGAACGAACGAACGAACGAACGAACGAATGTTCGCTAGTGGTATGGACGGGGACCGTACGATAGAACCGCACGAGAAGACCGGACCATAGACCGGACGCATTTCTTGGCGAACGCCTTTGATGTACCGACTCGAAACGGATGGTCGAGCGAACGAACGAACGAACGGCCGCATGCGTTCGGTTGGATAATGAATACGCACCTTTAGGGTTTCTATTTCCTATACCTATCTGGCTCAGATTTTCAATAAAAAGCAATCAAGATGGCTGGTGTCGCCATGGCAGTTTTCTAGTGACATTTAGTAGCTATTTTCAAAATCGAGATTAGTTTATGGACTTTATTTAATTTTATATCAGTCTACAATTTATTTAATATACCTACACTAGTTTAATAAATAAGTACTTATTATTTTATCAAGAAAAATGAAGCAGTATCTGCTGGTGGAAGGAATAATAGATATGTTAATAGTGATTTTATTTTGTGAGGAAAATTGCTTCTTGGCCTGAAGTGCTTATCCAAATAGGAATCTTCCTGATACGCGTTCCTTTGAAAAACTACTTGTCCTATTTCGCAGACCTGATGTGGTTTATGAAAAATGTATTAGGCAGAAACCTGTCGGTGGAAGTGAAGAAAATGAATTTGCCGTAATTGCAATAACTTTTATAGAAAATCCGATATATCAACAAGTCATCGTAAAATATAGCAAAGGACCTTAATATAATTTGAAAGAACATTTGAATCTGCTTCGACTTATTTAAAAAAATACGAGTGTTGCATTTGAAATAACGAAGTTTTATGTAAAATAAATATTTAAAATAGACCAGCACTTTTTGATACCCCTCTATACATTTAAGGAAGCAATGAAATTTTTTATTAAAGCTTATTTCTCTGGCTTAAAAGTCAGCTCAAGAATCAATTCTGAAAAGTAATGTACAGGGTGTTGACTATTTTTTTATTATAGCATGCATATTTAAATGTCTTTAAATATCTCAAAAACCAAAGTTTTTAAACATACCTATTGTTACGTTTTTAGTCGGTCTCTCGAATGGTAGTGGGACATATTAGTCAGGTTAGGCCGAGTCCACACGGGTCCGCAACAATATTTAACACTTATAATAAATGCCTTTTTTTAGGTTCAAGCATTCAAAAATGAAACAAAATACCGGGTATTCCATAAGATTTTGTTAGAAATCTTAGTTTTGAAATACCCTGTATATTTTAAAACAATATTAAATTATGCACATTGCCTCTTCACATAAATATTTTGTTTCTACGTTTTCCCGTTTTTTTATAATTAACCGAGGCGAATGAAATGCGCCACCCCGTATACAAAAAATAAATTTATTATTTACCTATAAGCTTGCTGAATTATTCTAGCGGCCATTTCTGCCTGTTCTGGATCTATGTTTGCTTTGTACAGTACTTCATGAACTATATTAGCCTCTTCAACTTCACTAGACCCTAAAAATATTATTCTGAGGCCATCTGTCTGATTAAAGCTAATATCATATAGTGATGGAATAACTCGAGCGAAAATTCGCTCGAGTACTCGATTATTGAAATAACCGACATCGCTTGATTATGAACGAGCGATGCAACTGACGAGTACCAAGCGACGAACGCAAGCGATCCTAGAATGAAATAAATTGAAATCCGATTTTAATGTGACATACTCGATAAAAAGTCGAGCGAATTTTCTACATACATTGCAGGTAGCAAATTTATACGACGCCGTATATCGTATATGTATTTATCCGTTGCGTATCTGAGGGACAAAATTTTACGACCTACATCGACAATGCTTTGAAATAAACTAAATCAAGCGATCAAGCGAATCGCTCGCCGCTTGCTACTTGCCATTCATCACTGCGCACGCAACATACTGCTTGGCGCTTGGCGTTAACGAGTACTTACAACAAGCGACGACGGGTGAAAAACCGTATTTTTAAGTACGAGTGATATTTAGCTCGAGCGATCACTTCGTTATTGCAATCGCTTGAAACTCGAGTACTCGCTTATTGAAATTAATCGGGTTTTCCCATAAAAATATTATTCTGAGGTCATCTGTCTGATTAAAGCTAATATCATATAGTGATGGAATAACTCGAGCGAAAATTCGCTCGAGTACTCGATTATTGAAATAACCGACATCGCTTGATTATGAACGAGCGATGCAAGTGACGAGTACCAAGCAAATACGGTTTTTCACAAAGCTCATTTTTTTCTGAAATTTTTGTTTGTGAAATATTTGCTGGTTTGTAATTATTGTAATAAATAATCTGGATATTTTACCAGTGGATCTGCGTCTAGGGTAATCGTGGTCAATGAATTCTTTGAAAGTTCTGTGAATGGAAAGAACAATATTATCAACGTCTTCTCTGGACATTCCAGTTTCTTCCAAAAATGTGGCTGTAGTCGTAGCCATTTCTGTCAAGCTTTCCACTAGTCTCGCAGCAACTAAAATTTAAACCAACAGTAATATAATAAAATAATAAACTATTTTCCAAACTTTTCAAAAATTTATAAAGATAACAAATAGCATTTAGAATAATTTATTGATGTCAATACCATACAAATAGTGGCGTACATAAGTCAAAATATAAAATAAAATACATATATAAAACACAATTAACTTAAAAATTAACACAAAAGACATAAAGTTAAAACCATCATATTAGATGGGTATACAATGACAGTTATATATTCTAGTTAATACATTGTAATATAAACATAGGGTGGGAGTTTCCAGTTCCCACATTCTGTTGTAGAAGGAATTTCCATTAAGCGAGATTAATATGTATATCACTTGAAAGAAACTCCCTCGAGTCATACAGTGGATTTTCAAGTAACCAGCCACGAACCCTGCCCTTAAACACCCTATCGGACAATAGTTTATACCCATCCGGAAGTTGTAAAACTTGTAAAACTTCACACCCCAGTATCTAGGTCCATCTCGAGACCTTTCTAATCTATGTATAGGGATACTGAGGTGCTCCGCCCTACGAGTGTCATGAGAGCCGTCCTGAGCATTTGTGGGATATTTTTCCGTATTGGCTTTAACATATAATAGATTTTCCAATATATAAAGATTTGGGAGAGTAAGTATATTTAACATTTTAAAGGTTTCCCTGCAATCATCCCTGTAGCCCAATCCTCCGACAACTCTCACAGCCCTCCTCTGAGCGCGAAAACCCTGCGCCACTGAGGTGCGTGACCCCAAGCCAAAACAGCGTAGGACATCACAGAATGAAAAAGAGCGTAGTAAGCCGTCCGCAATACGCAACAGGAAACAGTACCTGACAAATTACGCAGAACGAAGAGCGCGCTTCTTAGCTTCTTGCATAGTTGCTCAATATGAGCATTCCATCTCATTTCACTGTCCAACTGAACCCCTAAAAATGGAACAGATTCCCTGGAGAAGCGACAGTCCTCAGGCACACTCCTCAAAGAAAAAATTACACGATTTGTTTTGGCCTCATTTAAAACTAGGTTATTTTTCCGGAACCAGTCAGCCGCCCTCGCTTGAGCGTCATCCGCGCGTCCCTCTAGGTCTTTTAGTTCTTTTCCTCTGACCGAGACCGCTGTATCATCTGCGAATAAAACGTAGTGGTCGTCACGTCGGATATGTGGTAAGTTGTTTATATAAATCAAAAAAAGTAAAGGGCCCAGTACTGAGCCTTGTGGGACACCATTTTTAAGAGAACAATTTAATTTAGAAACATAACAATAGCATAGCATATAATAAACGCCATTATTAAAATCTTTGATTTTTAGAAATGCTGGTGCGTTTGTCTCGACCAATGAGAGCAGGGAAAACCACATTATGGACTAAATAATGGTACATTTTGCTTAAATGCAAGCGGGGAACAACGCCGCGCTGCGCCGTAACACACGTCGGTGAGATCTGGGACAGACGAATCATTTGTGTCTAGCCTCAGCAAGGCAACTATTAAGCTTTGGTTAGCGTGGTTATTTGGAGGGTGTTAATAATTCATTGGTTAGTTGGTTATTTGGTGGGATTGGTTGGTTTTTACTAATTTATATTTGTTTTTTAGATATTCATTGATTTTCTTGATTTGTTTGTAATAAATTTTATATAGTACGCCACAGCTGTTCTGCATCCGCTTTTGTCAAAAACTCTAACGTGATTGGTCAAGCTTAATAGTTGCCTTGCTGGGGCTAGACATAAATGACGAATCGCCCATCACACGTGTGATAGCGTGTTATGGCGTCGGATGGCGTGGCGTGTTACCTAGTGTGTACGCAATACATGTACAGTACGTCTGTCTGTTCTGCAGCTACGGGGTATCCGTGAGCGGGGAAACGATATTCTCTCGATGTTTTTCGTAAAAGAATTAGAGGACGCAATTAGAGGAATTAGAATAATAATTCGACAAATTTGCAAGTAGCCAATAAAATGAGTGGGCGGAGCGATTTGCGGTGACGTACTCGTCAAGTCGACGTATAAAATATATTGCTGTTATTTAAATGTTTTTTGTCCGCATTCCTTTCATAGACAAAGATCCAGCAGACGCACTTTAATTAACTGGAAAAACATACGCACAGATCTTCACGGCGTGAGGTAGCATAGCATCGCGTGGCATGGCGTGTTGGCTAATGAGGTCCCGGCATTAATCATTTTCGTCAGTAAAGTGACGCGAAAACACTCTAACCAATCGTATCAACGGATGACGGCTGCATGAAAATCTGCCTTTAAACCCTCTGAACTTGTAACACATTGTGAAACAAATACTTTTATTGTTATTCTTTTATACCTAGATAGATTAATTTAAGTACCTAACAATATACATATTGCTTAACAGCTAAACCAATATACAAAAATTAGATAAGAACCAAAATGTGGAAACAATTCCTTTATAAAGTGCAGTCAAATCATATTTAAGAAATTTTAAATCGCAAAGAATAATATAAACATAAGTAACAATATAGTTATAAAAAGCCGTGATTATATGTATAACCCACTAGCTAATAACAGTTTACAAATATTTGTTTAGCCTAATTGAGATTATTTTGTAATTTATTTGTTTATAAATTAATTGAAAATCCAAATTAGGGTATATTATGTATATACAGGGTGAGTCTTAAATATTTTTAGAGCTGGTAGATCGCGATAAAAGCAACATATTTTCTCTCTACCGTTTTTGAAATAAGTCCAAAATTACCGAGTTATTTTACTTTAAAAATTTAAAAAATATATATTTTTTCCTTAAATTTAGAGAACCGCTGGATATTTTCTGGGTTTTCTTTCTTGTAAATTTAATCTATTGCCTATGTTGCCGGTTGCAGTATTATCAACAAATTGTGTTTTTTAAGTACTAAAAACTAAAAAAATTTTTGTTTCGCAAAAAAAACTCATAGACGTGTTTCTGGGGCCGAACTATACTACCCCTAAAAATATTAGCATTTATTTACTCACCCTGTATATGTATTACAGGGTATTTATAAAATGATGTGTAAAAATATTATTTAGTAGATATCTATTATATTAGAAATAGAAAATAACACTGGAAATAGCATTACTTTCTTATACAGGGTGGCCCATCGAAAACGTTCCGCAAGGCATAACGGCCCAAGGATACTATATAGAGATAAGGATAGTTCGATTCCTATCTTCCTGCACTGTCAGTTTTTTTACGTCATCTACTGACCGAGTTGAAGTTGGCGCTAAAGATTTTAGACATATACGTATTATTTACAAATATACTCAGCCTAATCTCCAAAAAGTGAAGCCCAAACAGTGAAAGAGAAATATGGAATTCTGCATAAGTCTATTTCACAGAACAGCTATCTAGCAACTACCGGACCTGATCGTTCAACCTTGTGGCAAGTGAAAAAATGCGTAAACATCTAGAAATAATAAGAAAAAACAGTAAATTGGTCGAAGAAATTTATCCTTATCATTTACTCTGATAAATGTTTAATAAACTTTTCAAATTTCAATCCTTCATATTTTCTCAATGACTCGACCGATTTTCAAAAATGAAGCGGGAAAGTATAGAGAATAGAAAGCCCCTTTCACTGCAGTACCACTTGACCCCCCTTCCCATTTGAAAAGAAATTGGGGGATGACACCCCCGCTTAAAGAGTTGAAAATCTTCATATTTGGGGCAAAAGTTGTCCCCTTCACAAACAAAATTGACGTGTTTTTGAATTTTCTGAAAAAAAAATTACCCTGGCCGTTATGCCTTGCGGAACGTTTTCGATGGGCCACCCTGTATATTACATACATACCTCTTGCATTTTCTCTTGTAATCATTAAAGCATCCAAATAATCGGCTATAAACATGTAAATATTTTCAGGTTGACTTCTTAAAACCTGAAATAAAGTCTATGATACAATTCTGATATACAGGGTGAGCCTTAAATAAATGCAAATATTTTTAAGGGTAGTATATTTCGACCCCAGAAACACGTTTATGAGGATTTTTTCGCGATTTTTTTTTAAATTTGGAATTTTTTGGAATTTTCTTTAAGTTTTAGTTAAAAAAAATAATATCTTCATAATATGGCAACACAGAGTTCACACTTGATAACGGTCAGTGATACTTGTGACCGAAACGTTGTGTAAGCGAAATAAATAAAGACAATGGAAGTCCGAAACTTTTTTAGTTTTATTATGGCAATATAGGTGTAGTGGATTAAATTTACAAGAAAGAAAACAAGTCCAGCGGTTCTCAAAATTTAAGCAAAAAAATCAATTTTCTTCAAAATTTGAAATAAAAATATCTCGGTTATTTTGGACTTATTTGAAAAATAGTAAAGGAAAAATAGGTTTCTTTTATCGAGATCTATCAGCCCTGAAAATATTTGCACTTATTTAAGACGCACCCTGTATAGTAAGGCCAAAAATACTGGTCTTAGAAAGGAAAACATTTTAAGAGTAATAAGTAACATGATATAAGATAAGCGATCATCTGGGTAGGTACACAGAGTTCCAGGTAAATGATATAAGGTCGACTGGCTGTCTAATGAATGAGCTGTGGTTTACTAAACATTTTTTTACAACCTGTATAGTATTATTATATCTAATTAGAAATACGAAACTAAGTAACAAAATTTCTCTACGACATTCTGCAGCTGTTTATTATAATAATATACTTATTATATTATAATTAGCTCGTAAAGCAGTTTTATTAGCAAACTTTAATACCGCAATATGCAAAGTTCGCTGGCTTAATAAACTTTATTAATAAATTAATTTACCCTAAGAAACTCTAGTTTAACTTTCGTAGTTCGAATAATTAAATTTCAACGTATATATTTAACTCGTTTTCCAAATAATTGCACTAAAAAAAAAAAAAGGTATTTTACTTCTCTGGAAATATCAGACATCAATTCTTTAAGTCCTTCCGGAATCACGTAGATGTATCTTGCACAATGCCTTTGAAGCATAGCCTGCATTTTGAGGATTCAAGCTGATTCAAGTACTAAACTTCTTTATTAATATATATTCAAAAATACTGACGTGTCAGATGTCGAAGCAGGTTGATTTGTTTGAAAGATTATTTCATAATTTTAAGTAAAAGTCAACCAATGTCAACCAATAACATCGGAACATAATTTACTATTCGAGTCTTGATAAACCCTTGCTGTCCTTTTCGGAGGAAGGAACGTAATAGAGATATGCAATGGAAGACTGCAGCATGAAGTCCACATTATCTATGTTAGGAACATACAACTTGGTGCTTTCGTCCTTTTTAAGGAATTGTAGGCATTATCGAGACTAAAGCGAGGGAAGACTTAACATTTTTGGAAAGAAGTTTTCTACCTCCAAAGAGTCTACAGGGTTGTTCACCACATACGACACGGAGTATTGTAGCTAAACGATGAGATTTTTACAAATTGTAAGTTTTGGGTTCGATGAAGGACTATTAGAGGTACAATTTAAAAATAATTTTACAAGATAGAGAGTGTCCCAAATAAGTAAAAAATATCAAAGTTGTATTTTTTTAAATGGAAAACCCTGTATATTATTACATTTTTAGTTTGTACGATTAAAATAAAGGTAAATTTGATTAAGGTTTATTATACCTAAACCTAACAGTTTTTGAAATATTTTCAATTTTGTGAAATTGCAGTAAAAATTTTAAGGCTTCATTTCTCCAAGGGTATCAAAGTTTTTAATACTAAATATTTACTGAAGTTTATTTACTGATCAGTTATTGTGTTGCAATAATAAAAATAATACTACCTTATACAGAGTGCCTAAAAATTAATTTTAAATAATTATTAGCTTCAAACGGCAATAACTTGTTTAATTTAAACGGAACACCTTGTATATTTTACGAGAATCAGATGCACAATTTAATTGTCTATCAAATTATATTATACCATTTTTTACCTATCTCTTTAAGTTTCCATAGAAAATGCATTTTCTTGTAATTTAGAACTTATTTATCAATATACCCATGGAATATTGACATTTTAGATTATTTTTAAAGATGTACCAAATTTTTAAAGAGTACAGATACTAAAATTGTCGATATAATTTGTTTATTTTATTAAAAAATAAAAAAAAAATGTTTAAATATTTGTTAAAGGGGACCAATTAATATGATTCCAGTATTCAAACTACATTAACTGACTGTTTGCGTTGATTAATAATAATTGCTCCAAATACTAAAAAACTGAATTTTGTATGGGTATTAGACAGTCTGATAAAAAGAAACACCTTAAAAATGACATTTCATTTTTTAATAAATACTTATTTATAACAAAGAGACTTAATTTTGATAACTTATTATTATATTGATTTCTGACTTAAATCCACATTTATTTAGAATAATTTGTTAACGAACACAATTAAGTATGTAATTAATTAGTATATGGGCGGAAATAATGGTGTTATATTTAATTAATGGTATACTCTTTTATAAAAGATTTAAATAGTTTTCTTTTTGCATATAAATGGGTTAGTAATATTATCGTTTTGCTAAAAACGATAATATTACTAGCCTGTACATTTTGTACATTTGTTGCTTTAAAAACAGTCTAAAACGTCAACATTCCATGGGTATATTGATAAATAGGGTCTAAATTATAAGAAAATGCATTTTCTACGAAAACTTGAAGGGATAGGTAAAAGATGGTATAATACAATTTGGTAGACAATTAAATTGTGCATCTGATTCTCCTAAAATATATAGGGCGTCCCATTTAAATTAAAGAAGTTATTGGCGTTTAAAACTAGAAATTATTTAAAATAAATTTTAGATACTCTGTATAAGGTAGTATTATTTTTATTATTGCAACTCAATAACTGATCAATAAATAAACTTCAGTAAATATTTAGTATTAAAAACTTTGATACCCATGGAGAAATGAAGCCTTAAAATTTTTACTGCAATTTCCCAAAATTGAAAATATTTCAAAAACGGTAAGGTTTAAGTATAATAAACCTTAATCAAATTTACCTTTATTTTAATCGTAGAAACTAAAAATGTAATAATATACAGGGTGTTCCATTTAAAAACATACAACTTTGATATTTTTTACTTATTTGGGACACTCTGTATCTTGTCAAATTATTTTTAAATTGTACCTCTAATAGTCCTTCATCGAACCCAAAACTTGAAATTTGTAAAAATATAATCGTTTAGCTACAATACTCCGTGTCGTATGTGGTGAACAACCCTGTATATTACGCTGTAGTGTTCGGGTCGCTCTTAGGGGTCGGGTAAAGCGAGTGTGTGACCGAAGGAAATATATATTATATATCAGAAATCTGTCTAAGGTTTAGCCCGATCCTGTCGTGTTAAGCTTGGTTTTCATGCATCCGTTAAGCTTGATTTTCATGCATCTGTTGTTCGACGATACGTTGATACGATATTGGTTGCTACCAATAGTTGATACTAATTTCATTGGTTGTATTTAAAGGCTTCGATTGGTTAACCGTTTCTAACCAATCGAAGTCTTTAAATTCAACCAATAAAATTAATATCGTATCAACGTATCGTCGGACAACGGATGCATGAAAATCAAGCTTTATACGTTGATACGTTGGTCCGACGGTGCTCTGATTGGTTATGGCGTTTTCGCGCCACTTTTCATCCGTAAATATTTTACTTCAGCCCGTCACCGGACCCGTTCATACGATAACGGACCTTTTGACACTTTTTTGACAAATTTAATCTAACCTTAATAAAAATATAAGTAAAATAGCAAAATCGTTATGGAAACAAAAATATAAAATGACACCAACGTATATCCGATAAACGGAGGCATGAAAATGCAATAAATTTAAAAACTGCGTTATTTTCAAACCAATCAAAGTCTTTAAATTCAACCAATAAAATTAATATCGTATCAACGTATCGTCGGACAACGGATGCATGGAAATCAAGCTTTAAGCCACACCTAAAATTCCAAACACACGTGCTTTGATTAAGGCTTGATTAAGGTTTGCAGAGCTTCAGCATTTGCCATAAAATAGCGAGCAATTTGTTACAAAACCATATAAATTATATATCACTGTAATCACAAAACTTCAATCTGTTTAAAATTATGTCTTTATTTTCGAGAAAATTTAGTCCAAAAATAAGGAATATCTTGTCGATGTTTGACCCTCAAAATCTTAAAAATAAAGCCAGTTTTATATAAAACGTTAAATGCCGAACGCTTATTTTGCTACTTTTTCCGACTAGTGAAATGGACTCTTAAGGGAATTGGAACATTACAACCTTCATAACGTGGTATACTGATGCTTTAAAAACCAAACCAGAAACAGAGATGTGAAGAGGGTGCCTCTTCTGGATGGAACCAGTCCGCTCAAAAGGATATTGGTCCAAGAGCTGGCGGAATCCATCGGAGAGGAAGAGTTCTGTAAACCTGACCCTTCCAACTCTTCGCAGTGAAGAGAGAAATAAGGATCCTGCAGGCCAACCTTCAGCACGCAAAAGCTGCTTCAGCAACGCTGGTCAGAAGGATGGAACAAGAAGGCATTGCTGTGGCCCTCCTGTAGAACCTTTTCTGCGGAACCCTGGAGGATAGGCGAGAAAATTGCTGGTCTATCATCTAAACAAGGTAAGGTTTTATGCACACCTAGGCCTATAAGACCAAGAGCGTGAATAATTTATAGTAATCTATAGTAGATTGTACACTAATACCGGTGCTCTGCACCGATGATGTAGTTACAGCTATTCTAGCACTAACCACGGAAGAAGGAGAAAAGAGAATGGTGATATGCTCAGCCTACTTTCCTCGCAATGAAGCTCAATGTCTACCTAGCATTATAAGCGACGTACTTGCATTCTGCCTAGAAAAAGGAATACAGCTCATTATAGGATGTGACGCTAACGCACACCATACCGTGTGGGGCATCACTAACATCCATACTAGAGGTGAGTCTATTTTAAATTTCATCTTATCTGAGGGTTTACTAATATCCAATATAGGAAATAAACCTACGTTTATCACTAGGGCTCGTAAGGAAGTTTTAGATTTAACTCTTTGCACAGGCAAGGTAAGTGATAACATAATAAACTGGCATGTGTCGGACGAACCATCATGTTCGGACCACAGATATATTCGGTTGATGGATAGGATTTAGAATGTCTCCCAGTAGGTAGCTATACGGAACAGATAAAGGTCGTCGAAGCACTAAACTCGGCAGTGGAAAGGGTAAGCGAAGCAATTGTGGCGGCCTATCATGAAAACTGTCCAGAAAAAACTAAGAAAAACACGGGTAGCAATACAGTCTGGTGGAGCAACGGCTTGAAGAGGTTAAGATCGGATGTTCGAAGCCTCTTTAACAAGGCCAAAAGAAACCAAGATTGGGCTACCTACCGGTATAAGCTCACGCAATACAATAAAGAAATTAGAAAAGCCAAAAGGAATTCATGGAGAAAGTTTTGCGAGGAAATTACAGATGTCCCGGCATGCTCTAGTATCCATAAAGTCCTGGCAAAAGATGGGGCAACCATCAAGAAAATAGGTTTCATTAAGAAAGCTGATGGCACTTATACAGAAACTAAAGAGGAAAGTCTTAAAGAATTAATAAAAGTTCACTTTCCGGCCTCGCTAATTCTGCCCTTACTCTACTAGGCAAACCAACCTAGACCCGAGGCCTGTGGATTGGAAAATTGCCACAGGAGTTACCAGACCAAGTAGAATTAGACTGGCAATAAATAAATTCCAGCAGTATAAATTTCCGGGTACAGACGGTATATATCCCATCTATTACAGATTGGACTAGAGGAATTAAGACAAACCTCACATATGTAAGATTCTCAAAGCTAGCCTGGCATGGAGAGTCATACCAGAAAGATGGTAAAAGGTTAAGGTTATATATCTTCCTAAGGTAGGCAAGAACTAGGTAGGACTTGCGGAAGCGGCGCTAAAGGCACTCGGCTCCGTGGAGGTCAATTCTAGACTAGTGTGGGACTGTGTGCGTGCTCTGAATACTTTAGGCGAACGTAGCACTGTTACGTTGGCCTAGGTGCCAGGGCACGAGGGTCACAAGGGTAACGAAAAGGCAGATGAAAGGGCCAA